TTGATGATAGTTTGAGGAATCTGGTATTGAATCAACTAATAATCCCCCTATTAAGACTTTTTTTTATTCTCATCACTTGTCTGCTTGATATTGTATTGATATTGTAAGGAGAAATTATGTCTGGCTCACTCATGGGAGTTAAAGAGTTAAGTCTGTACTTGAGTAGGTGGCATATCCAGCCAGAGCTTATCCTGATTTGTGTATCTTGAAGAAATTTTGTAGTATCACTACTCTCCCCTGGATGGGTTGCCAGTTCATTGCAAGGCTACTTGCTATTCTTTTATCAGGCTGGCACCCATTTATACTCCTGGGTGAGAGAGGCACTTTAAATAAAAGTAAGGTACCAGTGTTTTTCCTGAGGGCACAACACAAAGCCCTAACCAGGCCTCAAACCTAGTCCTCTTGACTGGGAGTCCAGCACACTCACCATAACACTGGGCTTTTGACCCAGTGAAAATAAAAAACATGCTCCTATGCTCATGACAAAATAAAAAACATCTTTCCATTTAGGAAACTGTTGTGAAATGTTCTTTTTTAGATGTATATTAAAGATCACCCAGAAATCATCATCATTGATCCAATGGAATCAATCCACAAGTTATTTGACAGAACAAAAAGTTATCAGATCATGAAAGAGTGTGAAATCCTGGAGGAAGGTTTGTGTGAAGTTTTGATTTCGCTTTGCACTGAGTATATATGATCAAACCATATATTGTTGTCAAAAGTCAATTATTAAATAAATATTCATCTTCTCATTGATAGGAGTTAAAGTCTTTGTTCCTAACTTTGTGCAATTTGATGAGCTTGACTTTAAACAGAATTTGATGAGAATTGAAAATGCTGGTGTTATGTTTCCAATGAGTAAGTACCTAGATCTCTGCTTTAATTAATTGGATTTAAATGCATTTAATTTATTATTTAGTTCAGTTCAGAGTGCACTATTTGAGGATACTTTTGGTCACCCAACTTTTTACTTAATACATAATATACAAGTGCCGCAAATAAATAGGAAATACAAAACCAAAAGTTTTGATGTAAAATTATCATATTTTTTCTAATGTAGCATAGATCAATGTTGTAGCTTGAGGCTATAAATACAAATTTTAACTTGTACACAATTTTTTTTTTTTAACTGTATCCTATGAAAATTGCAATGCCAATATACTAAATATCATTTTTTGAGGTGTTATACATTACATTTCAGTTTGTAAAACTGTCATTGGTCATGGATCAGAATTGTGTCATGAGGTAAA